GAATGAAAGAGCTGAAGCATATGGTTGCATTCTGGAATTCTTGGTCCAATCCCTGGCACTGCAAGTTTGCTCATACTATCAGGAGAGACCCCAGAACACTGAGTCAGGAGCAAATTCTGAACAAACACAGTACAAGAAAAGATAGAAAATGTCTGCCTACTCTGGCTAGTTGAGTAATGAAATTAGCATCAAACAGGTTGGTTGTAGTGGTGGTAGTGGGAAATTAAATATACACAAATGGGCAATCTACAAAGATGTGAATCCCAAAGCCAGCTGGATAAAATGGGATATAAATCCTGAGTTAAGGAATGGGATAAAGGCCTAAAGCTTCAACGAGAAAGAAGAGGACTCAGATGAGAAGAAGGTAGTTCAGATGATGAAAAGCATATGCTTTAAAATGAGAAGCTTACCCTGTAATTAGAAGTTTTTCCTGACATATAAATAGGACTTTTGGTAGAAAAGTTGTTGCTGATTATAATCCCAACTCTGGCTAGGAAGTTCACTTTTCATTCTTTCAGGTAGTAAGAGAGTGGTGAAAGTTTCTTGTGCACAAACATGGCTCAGTTCACATGCCAGAGTGACATGTCATGGATGGACCTGCTCTATATGTCTTGTGGAAGACTCTCCATCAGACACAGTGGAGCAATTCCATCTTCACAGGTGAAACACTGAACTTCAATCTCAACCTCAAACCCTAGTCACTAAGAGCTTCACTCAACGTAGATCATTAGTCTTAAGTGTATATGGTGAATTAAAATTCCTTTAGAGAGAAATGACCTAGAGTTAGGAAATAAGTTTTTGGACATGGTAACAAAAGAATAATTAAAATAAAAAGAAATTAATTTAAAATGAGCAAACTGGATTTTATCAAAATTAAAAGCAAGCTAAAAAGCAATAGATCAGGGTCAGAATGATGGTGCAACAGGTAATGTACTTGGATTTGATATCCCCAGCACCCAGTATGGTCCCCAAAACTCTTCTAGGAGTAACCTCTGAGCCCAGAGCCAGGAATTAGACCTGAGTACTGATTCTGGACCTCCCATCTCAAAAAAGCAATAGACCTGTAAGAAGATGAAAAATAAAAAAACTGCAGATAGGTGAAAATATTTCTGGACCATATATCTGATAAGAGAACTATATCTGGAATGCATAAAGATCTTTCCAAATGTAAGTGAAAAACAAGTGGTACAATTTGAAAATGGGCAGTAGATATAAGATACTTTCTAGAATACACATGTGGCAAAGAGATATATGGAAAGATAGTCAATATTATTAGCTATTAGGCAATACAAATTAAGACCATGAGATATTATTACAACCTATGATTTATGTTAGCACTGTTAGCACTGCCCTCCCATTGTTCATCAATTTGCTCAAGTGGGCATCAGTAACGTCTCACAACAAATTGTGAGACTTGTTGTTACTGTTTTTGGCATATTGAATATGTCACAGGTAGCTTGCCAGATTTTGCCGTGTGGGCGAGATACTCTCAGTAGCTTGCTGAACTCTCTGAGAGGGCAGAGAAATTGAGCCCAGGTTGGCCGCATGCAAGGCAAACACCCTACCCGCTGTGCTATCGCTCCAGCCCATGATTTATGTTAGCCAAAGTAAAATTCAAAAATAGTGAAATACTAAGTAGTGGTTAGGACTTTAAGAGCCAACATCAGGGGCAAGGGAGATAGCTCAAAGGGCTAGGTTGTATGCTTTGCTTTCTGGAGGCCAGTATTTGATCTTGAGCAACGACCTGGTTCTCTGAGCATCACTGGGAGAAAGTAGCCAGAAGCAACCCGTGAGCACAATCAGGTGTGGTTCCAAAACAAAACAAAAGAAACGGGATCATATAATACTTTCTGGTTATGTAAAGTGATATAGTTTCACTCAAAAGTAGTTAGACAGTTTCTAAAAACTAAACAGTATGTATCTCAGTATCCAGTCTTGCAGTTTTGAGCATTTATCTCAAGAAAATAAAAATTAACATCCACACAAACATCAATTTGAATGGTTCACAGTAGTTGTACTTACAATAGTCAAATATGGGAAACAAAAGAAAGTGTTCTAAATAAATGGCTAAACAAGTGGTGGCATGACTATCTGTGTATTTTATTGTTGTTGTTTTGAGAATTCTGACTAATTCAGCAAAGAATGTTACTCAGCAATAAAAAGAAATAAAATTATTGATACACCAAGTAGCTTAAATGGATTGTTGCCTTTTTCACCACCACATAGCACTTGTTTTCAGTCCAAAAACTGACTTATAACTTTTCATGGAGTAATCATTACATGGTATAATTCTGTTCATTATGCTGCTTAAAAGGTAAACAGAACAGCAACATATTCATCCAAGACACATGGATGCTTCTTTGTTTTTTCTTATAGTGTGAGCCAGGAGCCTAGAATTCTCAGCACATACACATTGTCAGTATGCGTAAATAAATCTTTAATATTTCCAGTGGATATCAACTGGTGATCAATCTCTCATGATCCACTTGTCAAAATGGTGCAAGTGGTCTTTAAAGGGTTTGCTTAGAACTGGAGAGAGAGATCAATGGACTGAACATATGCTTTGCCTGAAGAATGTCTTAGAACTGTTACGCATGTGTTGGGACCTGATACCACATGAAACACTCAGTTAAAAACTTCAAAAAGACAGGAGTTTCAAGTGTACTGGATGGATCTGAAGATGACGCATTATGGCAGAGAGACAAAGTAAACACATCTTAAATGACAGGACTGGGCATCAGATAAGAAAACCAATGATAGCAGTGCAGCCTCTGGGGACATAGAAGGTGAGGGTTTGTAAGGGTACTTGGCAACACTGCAGTAAATTTCTTCAAGTGTAGAATTTTAAATAATTATAAAGCTCAAATCAATAACAACTGATCAGTTACTTTCCCCCCAGCTCCCCGACCAGAAAAATGTTCACCAAACTACCAGGAAGAGGGGCTGGAGAGAAACAGCACTTGTCTTGAATGCGACCAACCTGGGCTTGATCCTCTGCTTCCCAGGTGGGCTCCTGTGGATCACCAGGAATAATTCCTGAGTGCAGAGTTAGGAGTAGCCCCTGAACATTGCCGGGTGTGGTCCCGAAACCAAACCAAACCAAGACAAACTATCTTGAAGAAATGATGTGCATCAATTTGAACTATTTAGTAAACATATGTATTCAGGAATGTATCACACATGCTTATCTTGTACCAACATTTTGGCAAAAGCATTTGCATAAATGTGAAATGTTCACTTTATGAAATATGGCATGCTGAATGAAATCTCAATAGCTTATGTGCTGGGGCTGGAGTGATAGTAAAGCATGTAAGCATGTAGAGCTTTTGCCTTGTCGACCTGATTTTGATCATTGGCTTCCTGTATGGTCTCTCGAGTGCTGCCAGGAATGACCCCTGAGCCCGGAGCCAGGAGTAATCCCTGAGCATCTCCAGGTGTGGCCCTAACGACCACCTCCACAGAAAACTCCTTATGTGCTTTATATTCACTCATATGTCATTCTTGAAATATCAAAATCACAAAAACCGCAAACAGATCAGGCTGGTGGCTGGAGCACTTGGGGGGAGGGGTGTCTCTGTGGTGATGGGACCTGCATCTTGATTATGACAGTGGTTTCATGAATTGAAACACATGAACCTGACATTGGACTATTACTTTATACGAATGTCACTTTCCTGACATCTACTAGGGCCAAATAAGATGTAATCAGCGGTAAACTGAACAAAGTGTACATAAAACTTTCAGTGCAACTTTGACTATTTCCTCTGAAAACTTTATGGAAAATGGAAAGTTAAAAATCTCCTGAGATACCTCTCCTAGTTCTCCTTTATCTTTCGATGAGTTTTCTCTTTCCCTGGACATGGCTTGTTCTCTCTTTACCTTGAATCTCTCTTTTCTCCCTCTCCCCAAGGTATTAAATTGTCTTTCAGTTGACGAAAATGAAGAAACTAGCTGTGCCCTATCTTCTTGTTAATCTTATTCCTTTAAAATCCTTAAAAAAAACAAACAGTCACCAAAACAACTTTACACACTAATCTTGTTATTTTACAGGATGCACAGCTAATATTGTTCTTTGGGGACAGGGGTCCGAGGAAGTGTTTAGGGGAAGGAGGAATCCACTTCTTGTTCTTGCTATACTTTACGTTTTGAGGTTCACTGGAGTGCTGGGGACCACTAGAGCCAACTCCCTCAGTGAACCCCCTCAGGAGGACACCAGAGGGTGTTTGGGGGTAACTATAGGGTCCAGGGGCTTAAATTCATTCTGTATGCCTCTGTCTCCTGACCTATCCTCACAGTCTGAAATGGGTATCCTTAATGTCAGCAGCACACAATACATACTGTAAAAGGTTTTCTTTCCCCTCATATGAACAGAGTATTTAAAATATTTTTGTGCCTCTGGATTAAGAGCATATCGTCAGGATTTAATGAGAAAAGTGATATCAAATATTATGTTCCAGTAGTTTTTTTCATATAAATTCTCACGTCAGAAATAATCCTTGCCAGCCCATGTGCCCAGGCACTTCATTTGGAAAATATGATCACTACAACTTAAAAACATCAAACAAACACAGCCTGTCCAGAGGGCGTGCAAAGTGAATCTGGCAACACTTTGGAAAAGTACTACTTTAAGTTCTCAAGAACCCAAAGAGCCCTCTGGCTCTTCCAGTGGGTTCAGCCCTAAATATTCTCAGTCCTTTGAAAAAATTATGAGTTGCAGGTGTTTACATTTTCAATAATTTTTTCTTTTTTCGGTCTTCTTATTTCATAATCATTTCTGATGACCAAAGAAGCATTAGACTTTGTAGACCTTAATACTTAATCCAGGTGTCCATTTTTTCCCCTACCCATTTCTTTTTCTTTTAAACCTAAACACTTTGACTCTTTTCTAAATCCCGCTATTCCCCGGACTCTGAATTAAAAAAAAAAAAAGAAAGAAAGAAAGAAAAAAGAAAAAGAAAGAAAGGCCGCTATAGTAACGCGAATGCACTGGCTGGGGAACGAAGCAAGTTTGTCCCTAGCGGCGATCCGTACTGGCGTTTGCCTGTAGCAAGATGGCGGCGGTCTCAATGTCAGCGGCTCTCAGGCAAGCGCTATGGGGGAGAAGGGCCACGGCCCGCGCTGCCCTTTCTGCTTCCCGGGTCCCGACCAGGTAATAGAATTGGCAGAACCCTTCTGCAAGCTTCCCGGGGCTGTCTGCTTCGGCGGAGATCTCTGAGGGCTGGGCGGCGGCCTGCCGAAGGCGTCCTCTGCCGAGGCGGCCTGCCAAGAGCGTCCTCCGCTGACCCTGGCCTCGGCAGAGGGCGGCCGGGTTTGGGGCTCGCCGCGGCCCCCGGGAGCCCGCGGGGCCAGGGGGGCGTGAGCGCGGCGGGGGCCGCCGAGAGGCTGTGTTGGCGGGGTGTCCCCGAGCCTGTGCTCCTGCGAGGGGAGGAGTCTCCTCGACCCCCGTCACACATACACACCACACGCGCGCGCACACACACACGCACACATACGCACTGGTCGTGGGGTGTCCCCAAGCCTGTGCCCCTGCGAGGGGAGGACTACACCACACACACACACACACACACTGGTGGTGGGTGTCCCCAAGCCTGTGCCCCTGCGAGGGGAGGAGTCTTCTCGACCCCCGTCTCTCTCTCTCTCTCTCTCTCTCTCTCTCTCTCTCTCTCTCTCTCTCTCTCTCACACACACACACACACACACACACACACACAGACACAGGCCCGCACCCCGCGTGTCACCTGTTTCCCCACCGTTCCGAGTCTTCCCCAAGTCTGCGACACCCTCTCCCGCCCTGGGCCCGGCGTGGTATTGATTGATTGGGTTTCTGAACGGAAAGGCTCTTTATTGATTGACTTATTTATTTTTTTTTATTCATCCGCTGCTTGGGAGGAGAAAACTCGGTGGGAAATTCCGTGTTAGTTAAAAAAAAAAGCAAGCAAGCAGAGCCTTTGGAAGGTAATTGTAAAACGTCTCCAGCTTCTCCCCCAGACTCCCTGCTCATCAGCACCTCACCGTGCAAAGGTGGGTGCTATTCTGCCCTCGAGGATTTTGGTGGTGACACCCCTGCGCCCGCCTTTCTTAATGCGCTCCCCGATTTCCCCGCCTGTACCCGATTGTATGTGTGTACACACACACACACACACACACACACACGTTGTTTACAAAGGATCTTGCTCTGTCACCGTTGTCATGACTTACTGGCTTACTTGGCCACCAGGGCTTGTGGTTCCTGTGGACTGCACCCCGCCCCCCATCACGCACAGAGACTGAGATCTAGATGTAAGGGGGGGGCAGGTAGGGGAAGAGGTAGGTGTGAAGGGACTGCATAGAATTGGGGGGAGTGTATGGTGAACAAATGGAAAAGAGGTCCATCAAACGCGATTTAGTGTGATTCACTAGTACATATGAAGGGGATGCTGTGAGTTGGAACTAGAGTTAATCAGGAATCGTTTTGCTGTTGCTGTTGCTTTTTTTTTTTTTTAATGTTTTTTGGGTCACACCCGCCAGTTATTGGTGCTTGGGGCTTACTCCGGGCATCATATGGGAGTGCTGTGGGATAGAACCCGTCCGTCCCTTGCAAGTCAAGCACCCTCCACGCTGTACTCTCTGGCCTGATAAGGAATCATTTTTGAAGGTGCACTTTATTTTAGGCTTTGGATAGTGGTTGTTGGGTGGGAAAGAAGAGGAAGAAGAGGCGACTTTGGATCCTTGGGTACCTGGAATACCTTGTCAACCGTTTGTGACACGGTTTGAAGGCAGAGGTAGGAGATGCTTAAGGAAGAGTGGAAGAGTCACTGCGAGATAATGCTCCTTCCTAAAACTACTGAAGGTAAATGAGTTTTGGGAGTAGGTAGTTGTTCTACAGGCAGGGAACTTGAAAAATGCAAAGTGTTTGGTGTTTTGTTTCTTTTGGGACTATACCCAACTGTGTCCAAGGGCTTGCTCCTGCCTCTGTGCTCAAGGATCTTGTGGAGGATTTCAGCTAACCATAGGTGGTGCCAGGCATCGAACCCTGGCTGGCTGTGTGCACCCCCAGCTTCCTTACTGTACTATTTTTCTGACCCCTGTAAGTATTTCTGTTGGATAAAATACTCTTCTTGCTGAGTTAGGACTAGAAATCTTCCAGATGAGAGCACTTGTTCTTCAAGACATGCATATTAATTTTGCAGTCTCATATGTGTTCACAGTAACTGGAAAAATTGAAAACCATTTTCAAAGGACCATGTGTTGCCTGCGTAATCAAAACATGACTACATCTAAACTTAAGCCAGTCATTTTCTCAGTGGTTATAACAGTTGAAATGAAGTTACCAGGTATATATGTTGTTTTTGGGCCACACCTGGAGATGCTCAGGGGTTTTCCTGGCTCTGGCTCAGGGATTACTCCTGGCAGTGCTTGGGGGATCATTTGGAGATTGAACCCAGGTAAGTCACATACAAGGCCCTACCCACTGTTACTATCTCCCTCCAACTCTGGAAGTCACCAGATTTTGAAAACTCATGATAATTAGCACTTCTTATTTAGTTATAAGAGTTTCCTTGCAAATGTGTTGGAAGAGATTTGGAAATAAAATAAAATTTGAAATTGTGTAAGTGATTTTCACACTCCAAAAACTTAAAAACTAAGGAAAACAAATTTTAAATAAATTCATATCTATTTTTTTCTGTATCACTTTTTTGCCTCCAAGACTTTTCTTGAGATGAGATGAAATTACATTTATAAGTCTTCTATATAACTTGCTTTTCATTTTTAATTTAAGACATGCTCTCTATTGCTGAGCCACTTCCCCACCTATTCATTAATGACTCGAGAATAATGGGAATTTGAAAAAGTTGAAGGAAGAGAGGACAAATTAATTTTGGATATCCATAGCAAAAAAATCAGGTTAAGGTGGGGAAGATAGAACAGCAGGTAAAGTGCTTTGACTTGCATGCAAAACTTGATTTGATCTCTATCACCAGATATAGTTTTCTGAGCCTTGAGCACAGAGCCAGGAGTAGCCTCCGAACATCCCTGAGTGTGGTCCCCAAACGGAAATCAAACAAATACCATGGGTGTTATCATGATGCTTAGAAAAACTGTTGCAAATGATGTAACATTTCACATCACTTGAGTAAAATGTCACTGTCCTCCTGTTGTTCATGGATTTGTTCTAGCAGGCCCAGTAACATCTCCATTGTGAGACTTGTTACTGTTTTTGGCATATCAAATACACCACCGGTAGCTTGCCAGCTTCTGCCGTGCGGGTGGGATACTCTCAGTAGCTTGTCAGTCTCTCCAAGAGGGGCAGAGGAATTGAACTCAGGTCGCCCGCGTCGGCTGTGTGCAAGGCAGACTCCCTACCCACTGTGCTATCACTCCAGCTCTTGAGTAAAATGAGGGAGGGTGGAATCAGGCATTTGACAAGAACAGGAGTGGGGAACAAATACAATTATTGAAGAAAAGGAACTGTTAGAAGAAAGCAGTTAACTGTTAAGTTTTATGAATTCAACGGTGGTGTATCACTATATCACTGTCATCCTGTTGTTCATCGATTGCCTCGAGCAGGCCCCAGTAACGTCTCCTTCGTCCTAGCCCTGAGATTTTAAAAAGTGCCACATTTGAGGCTCTTTCAGGGTCAGGAGAATGAGACCCATCATGTTACTGTTTTTTGGCATATTGAATACGCCATGGGGAGTTTACCAGACTCTGCTGTGTGGGCAGGATACTTTTGGTAGCCTGCCAGGTTCTCCAGAGTAAGAACTAGATAATAAGATGTCACTGGCCGCAAATGCGGCTGCGCGCTTCCGGGAGCAGGGTCTTTTAGTCTGGGTCTTGACCATTGATAGGATTACATGGCGCCGGGGGCAGTTGGTGGGTGTAACGCCTACATACTGGAAGATGGGGGATCTGGGTGGAGGAGGCCCCAGTCTCAATTCGAGCAGGCTTGGAGATCTACGCCCTGGGTACTGCACACCTGGGTTCCTCTGCTGGTTCCTTCATGCGTGAGGCTTGTCCGAACGTGTGGAGAGTGGTCTTAAGCATGGCTGTGGCTGGAACCGGAGGTCTTCAGCTGCCGGGGCTCTGCTCAGGGTGGGGAGGGAAACTCAACCCACCCTCCTCCAAGGGGCCCAGGTGAGGACAGCTAGGCGAGGAGGCAGGAGATTCGGCTAACAGTGATGTAACAGTTAAAAAAACAAAGCAAATCAGTAAAGAGGGAAAATTGAGTGTCAGTGTTTCTGCTGCTCTAGTTACTGGGTTGAGATCTCCAAGCCTGCTCGGATCGGGACTGAGCCTCCCGCACCCAGATCCCCCGTTTTCCAGTAGCTAGGCAGTCTCACCCACCAACTGCCCCCAGCGCCATGCAATCCCATCAACGGCCAATAACCAGAGACTATGAAACAAAGCTCCTAATAGTCTGGTTCTCCCTCTCAGAGAACCCAACAAGCTACTGACAGTATCCTGCCCCCATGGCAGAGCCTGGCAAGCTCCCTGTGGTGTATTTGATATGCCAAAAACAGTAACAGTAATGGGTCTCATTCCCCTGACCCTGACAGAGCCTCCAAAGCAGCTCCATTGGGAAGGACGAGTAAAGAGAGGCTGCTAAAATCTTAGGGCCAGGACAAATGTTACTATGTCCTAGGCTAGACTAGGACGTAGATGTTACTGGCGCCCGTTTGAGCAAATCACTGAACAGCGATACAGTTACTGAGCATGCCCTCCAGTGTGGGGCCTGTTTTATGTACTTCTCATTTCCCTAGATTGAGTATCAATTTCTACTGATGCTTGTTTCCCTGGAGTGAATGAGAAACAGAGAAAGTCCTAGATTCAAGATCTATACCTTTCTTTACTTCCCCAGACTTTAAAGAGATCCTAAGGGATTGTTATGGGGAAGTTTAACTACTTACCATGTTAATCCAAAAGCTAGGTAAAATACGATTTTACCTCCAAAAAAGAAGTACTTGGACTCAGGATACTTGGTATAGTGGTCTTTAGGTATGAATTTTGATAACCTATTTTTCTGTCGCATCTAATGTTTGCCATTACTTCTCAGTTTGGACTTGAGACTTGTGTTTAACTCAAATATAGCTCATAGGATCATAGATCTGCAGATAATACTAGTGGTTGTATGGGACCTTTTTAAAGCCTGTTTCGTGCTTCAATCCCTGC